TTTTTTAATTAAAGATTTTATTTATTTATTTGACAGAGAGAGACACAGTGAGTGAGGGAACACAAGCAGGGGGAATGGAAGAGGGAGAAGCAGGCTCCCCGTGGAGCAGGGAGCCTGTTGCGGGACTCGATCCCAGGACCCTGGGATCATGACCTGAGCGGAAGGCAGATGCTTAATGACTGCGCCACCCAGGCGCTCATGTGTTATTTTTAACTACAATAAAAATACATAACCATGAACTTGGAAGACCAGCTCAACTAATGAGGCCAGTAGGACAATCTTCCCTCAGTGGGGACTCATGAATCACAACATAAACCATTTTAAGGAGTTTTATGTAGCCCACCCTTGCATTTTTCCTTGCCATCAACTCTTTTTAATGTTATTCTTTACCTAAAGGGCATCAGACTGTATCTGTTTTATTGCTGCTTAATGGAGCAGTCTTCAAATATTTATTTTTTGGCAAGGTGTTTAGGAATAAAATAAATCCTTTAGGTAAGAGTGGTGCATAAACTAATATCCCTCCGTGGGGGTTGGGGTTACATTTTCCTTAAGCACTTTAATTAAAGAAACACAAACAAACCCAGGCACCCACAGTGACATATGGAAGCTCAGCTGGGATTGGACAAAGACGAAAATCACTAGTGTAGAGCTACTGGAAGCCCTTGGAGTCTGTGTGCTGGCTACTGGGTAGGAGTGACTGTCCAGCAACCCAACCCCAGGTATCCAAAGGAATAATGATTACTTGTGGGAATAAGCAACTCTCTTTGCTATAAATGAACAACGGAGAAAGAAATCTGAGCATGGAGTCATCACATACAATTTAAAGCTCCAAAGGTAAGGTTCAGAACTGGGGTGATAGCCTTCCAACAAGACATTCTTTTATTCTAACTGTCCTGACACAGCTGGCCAGATCTAGAAATGCTTCCAATGTTTAGATAATGAGAATAATAATGAGTGCCACCTTCTATGTAGAGAGCACTATCCATTTAAAAAAACATTTTTATATTTATTGCATAATTTATTTCAAAAAGAACTTTGTGCAATGGATTTTTTTTTGGGGGGGGGTGCAACGGATTAACTAGAAAGTGTGTGCAGTGTGGAGAAGAGAAACCAGAGACTGGAGCACACAGTGGTTTAACATGAGATGAACGCTCAGATTTTCTGAGGCAGTCCACTTTATAAACATCTCCTTGAAGTCTGAACATTTGGCCATGGTGCAGAACACATCTCTGGGTGTGGAGATGAGTTTTCCTTCATCTACTTATTCCATCTCTCATAAGGGGATGCCAACGGAGCCCTCTACTTTGGCGAAAAGGCAGAAGGGAGATGCCTTGGTGGAATCTTGGGAATATCCTGGACCATGCCCTCCATGCCCCCTGCTGCAGGGACGTGGCTGTCCCCGGACCCTCTCCCTCAGCAGCTGCCCCCCTCGAGGTTTCTGCAGCTTCTTAAGGGAAGGTGTGGTGGCCACCACAGCTGGTGCTCCCAGCTAATTGCTGGGGTCTACACGAGGCCCCCTTGAAGGTTAGGAACCCTCGCCATGCCAATTCCATCCACCAAGTCCTGTGGCGACTGTGCCGTCCCTCACGCAGCCTGCCTCTCTGCCGTCCCCCACTGCTCCATCTCTGCAGGCATCTGTGGGGTGCACAGCTCAACAAGCTGCAGATGAGAAACAAGCCCGTCTCCCTTGTCTAGAGTGGCCCCCAAACTTCAAAGGCAATTCGATTTCGGGGTCTCCGGATCACAAGTTAATTATCAAACAGGATGGAAAGGGGAGAGGCGCAACGCTCTTTAAACTTCTACAGATTTCTTGACCGTTTTCTTCCACATTTACTCCTTATGTTGGAGCAGGGGAGGTCAACACGAGGGGAGACAGGTAGGGTTCACTTTGAACTCAGCTAGTCAAGGCTCAGCAGAGTCTGTAGATAGATCAGCTGCCGGGGGTAGGGGCAGGGAACAGGGTGGTCCTGCAGGACCACTGTGCAGAGAGCTACGAGGGTCCCCAACAGCTTCTACAAGCCCATCACCTATTAGTGATGAGATCCTGCACATGAACCCATGCACTCTGAGCCTGGCCACCGGATGCAGAGGAAGCCACCATTCATAGATGCTTCATATCACCTTGGTATATGAACGAATTTGGAACCTGATTTGGGAGATTTTGTTCTAACTTTCTGCTCGGGACCTAATCAGATGATTTGGGGACAGTAGAAGGGCCTAACTTGTATCCCAGGACCGCTGTCCTGTGCTTCCGCTCTCCCCAGGCAGGCCTTTCTGGGTTGATCCTGCCCCCAGATATTTCATTTAAAGGGGAGTGTCTATGAGTGCCTTTCAAAGCTCTTAATTTAACTGGAGCCACAAGGCTCCCTGAGAGGCACCGCCTTGTCAGTCCCACGGAGGCCAGATCTCAAGTGTGCGGTTAACCCTCCCTAAAGGGCACAGACCCTCCAAATCTGCAAACCATGTTGCCACAGCGCTCCAGCCTTTCCTGCCGTTCTGTATGCATTCCTGGGAAAATCCAAGAGCGCACCATAAAACTTCTTCTTTAGATCTGGGCCATATTCCTCTTTTCTCTGATTCCATTCATGGCCACAGCTTCCCAATGCACAACCACAAAGTACTCTCTGCACTTCTTCCTGATCCCGATCATGGTTAAAATTGGGAGCAGAAATACCCAAGCCTCATTTGCCGGCCTCTATGTAATCTGCATTCTCCCAGGAACATAATTTCCTTTCACAGTAAACACAGACTGTCTGTTTTAGAGTATCTGATAACTATTGCGTAGTGTGACACAAATTCCTAATAAAATTCATGGAACGGGGAGCTCTTCCTTGGTCTAGACCTGCCATTGTAAGACCTGGTGAGCCACAGGGACTGAGCCATGGAAATCTGCCAGCATTTCTCAGATCCATCCTAGGGTGAAGACTATTTCAGAAAAGCCAGTTTAATGGACCTTTTAGTTATGTAGAAGTAGAACCAATTTTTGTCTCTGGCTTGGAGGCAATGAGGAGCAAAGCTGCTCTACTTCATAAGCCTGAACGTTGTCTTTATTGTGAGTCAAGAATATCTTTGCTAATTATTGTTATTGGCTAGAGGGTGAGCCTGAGTCTAGGTTTTAAATGAAAGCCAATTTTCTCTCTCTCTCTGGGTCTGGGTGTGAACTTCAAGAAGGGGAAAATGTGCAGAGATTCTCCTTCAAGCAGCCGCTGGTGGTGGCTGAGGCCGGGACAAAAGAAGAGCTGGTATGCTCTCTCTCTTAGGAATCTGGGAGCAGGGAGGGGCAATATCCGATTTTAAGTTTGTTTTGTTTTGCCATCATCCTCAAGCCTTCCACTATCTGCAAGCCTTTCCCCAGGTTTTGTAAAGCTGGTGTCTGCTGTGATTTAGATTAATGGATGGGCCTGTGACCACACTTTGGGGGACCGTTCTGGGCAGCGTGGCGGCAGGCTGGAGAAGCTGGTTGAGAGAGCGAGAGCCACGAGTGGTCCAGGGAAGAAGGCTGAAGGGGTGGCCCACAGCAGCCAGGCCTGCATCAGTACTGCTCCAGTGAGCTTGGCATACCTGGGGAGGGAAGACTAGGCAAAGACCGAGGGTCCTGCACGTAGTCACGGTCAGAGGGTATGTTCTTCTGTGGGCATTAAATGGGATGGTGACCTCTGAAGACCAGAGAACTGGGGAACATCTGGGCTGTGCTTAGGAATGAAAACTCTTTAAATGACCACAGCTGTGTCTCTTATTCTCGTCACAGCCTCCCCTCCGTGTCTCCTTGGACTCCTGTGCTGTCTCCACAAAACACTCGACATTCGGAACAGAGACGATCATCTGAACTCTGCAGGAATGTTTCTTTCTGACCCTGTCATTCTTCCCTGGATCCATGTAAAAAAACAGGAAATATTGCCAAGTCCTAATCAACACATACCGTCACGTTAAGGGCACAGAGTACTCTGTCATAAAGAATATCTAAAGGTAATAAACATCCAAAGGTAATTTGGTGCCTTTTTTTTTTTACTTTTATTTTTTTTATTGTTATGTTAATCCCCATACATTACATCATTAGTTTTAGATGTAGTGTTCCATGGTTCATTGTTTGCATATAAAACCCAGTGCTCCATTCAGTACTTGCCCTCTTTAATACCCATCACCAGGCTGACCCATCCTCCTGTCCTCCTCCCCTCTAGAACCCTCAGTTTGTTTTTCAGAGTCCATCGTCTCTCATGGTTCGTCTACCCCTCCGATCTCCCCCCCTTCATTCTTCCCCTCCTGCTATCTTCTTTTTTTTTTTCTTAACATATATTGCATTATTTGTTTCAGAGGTACAGATCTGAGATTCAACAGTCTTAATTTGGTGCCTCTTTTTAAACTACACATGGCTTCCTTCCTCACCACCAGTGATTTTATCCCCACCTGTTCCCTGCTGAGATGTAGCTATGCTCTGAAAATGGACTGCAACCGCGGAGCCTGTCAAGGCAACTTACTTTCTCCTGGGACTCCATTCAATAACCAGCTAATTCTGGGCTTGGGGTTGCCACTGGCTCTGCACATCAGCCTCCCGTCCTCTCCTGGGGACAGCACAAGGTTTTGAGGTGCCATGATCCAGTATGGGGCCGCTTTGTGAATGAAAGAAAAAAACCCACAAACACTTGAATCATACAAGTATTCTAGCAAATCTAGTATGCTGAACTATTTTAATAATAAAAATATTTTGCAAAATATTTGTTAGCTTCCTTTTTTTAAGAGTAAATAAATTCATAAGTGATGCCTCAAAGAACACTTTAGATTTTCAAAAGAATGTTTCAAGAGATTCACAGACAACTATGTATTATTTCTAGAGCCTTTTGATACAAAGACCATCTCGCTTTACATTAAATTAACCAGACATTAGAAAGGTAACAGATTTCGCTAAGGTTATAGAGCAATTTACAGGGACAGATAGGGCTAAGAAACATGAATTTAGATTCTGAGCCCTGCAGAATACACATAATTATAAACCTGGGAAGGAAGTTAAAAAACTTCGCATTTTTGAGAAGTTGCAAAGTTAGGATAGAGAACTCCCATGAGCCCTTCATCCAGCTTTCTCTAATGTTCCCTTATATAACAATGGTTCAGTTATCAACACGAGAAATTAACACTGGTACAATACCATTAGCTAAACTACATCTTCTTCTACTAATGGCTTCTCTCTGTCCCGGGACCCTCTCCTGGATACCACATCGTCTTTACTTGTCTTGTCGCCATACTAGTTTCCTCCAATCTGACAGTTTCTTGGTCTTTCCTTGTCTTTTGTGACCTTGACACTTTTAAACAGTACTGATTGGTTATTTCATAGAATGTCTTTCAACTTGGGTTTGTCTGGTGTTTTTTCATGATCAGACTGAGGTTTTGGGTGATGGATCCCTCTTACTGCATCATTTTAGGGGGTCCACGATACCAACATGACTTTTTACTGCTTATGCTAACCTTGAGCACATGGTTAGGGTATTATCTGCCAGGTTTCTCTGTAAAGTTGCTATTTACCTGCTTTCCATAATCTATTCATTAGAAGTGAATCACTAAGTCCAGCCCACACTCAAGGGTGGGAAATTTAGCTCCATCTCCTTCCCAGAGGAAAGGTGAAGAATTTGTGAAAATATGTTAAACCTGCTTCCGTAATTAATTTTTGGGGTGTGTGTGTGAGAAGAAATACTTTGAGGCCAAGGGGATCCCCTGTTTCTCCTTAAAGTTTCATCCATCTTTCATCACTGGCTCTTGCCTGCAGGAGTTATAACCGTGGGATGTTAATGGTGATTTCTGGTTTCCCTCCTTCTTTCTACAGTTATTAATTGGAATTCTTCTATGAGGAAGGTTTGAGAAAGAGAATTTTTGACCTGATTTAGATGCACTCTAAAGAGCAGTGAGAAAAGAGGGTGTCAGGAATGTTGATATGAATTTACATTTATTATTAACTGAAGAATCAGATCAAAGATGTATGTAATTGAAGATTTATGACTTCTCATGAAGGCAAGAGCCATGCATTTGAAACAATTGTATACCTTTAACTGTAACAGAAATGGTATGATGGATAGCTCCCAATGGGTTTTTGGCTATACACTGGTAATTTCCAGAGTCTGCTTCTGAAACCTGAATGATCTGTAGAGTTTTCTTGAAGTTCCTATAAAATGTCCGGTTGATGGGCAGTGTTCCATCTTCTTTTATCCAGTAAATAATGGGGGTAGGCCTGATAAGACAAATAAATGATATTATTAAAAAAGAAGTTCACCTCACTGCTTTTGAGGGTGAATCTTCATGAAAGTTGGTAACAACTTCTTTGTTTAAAGATCATGAGGACTAGAAAGACACTGTAACTAGCATCACACTTTTATAAATAATGCTTAAGCCCCTGTATCGAATTCTGTGAGCTAGCACCGTCAGGAAAGCAGCACTGTGGTAATGCATGGCACTCCATGACCTTTGACCTCCCTGATGTAATGAGCAGCCTAGCCTAGTGACTTCGCTGAAGGGGCCTCATTATTTTATTCTCTTCAAAGTTCTGATCAGTGAGACACTCTTCGAAAATTTTACAGGAAGGAATACGTTAATCGAAAGGCTTACTATGAAATTAATGATACTGAGTTTTTTTATCAGCTAGAGTTAAAAATGCAGAAAAAAAAAGAGCTGATATATATATATATATTTGTGCCCATGAACTTTTGCACACATTTCCCTATCAAATGGAAGAATTTTGATCTAGTGACTTTAGAAGATTTTTATGAGGGTAAAATAAAAATCCACTGGACACATTTACTAAGCACTGAACTACGGACCAAGTACTGAGTTGTATGTTGGGAAGATAAAGACCAAAAAAAAAAAAGGCCTAGGAACCTCAGGAAGATCACAATATTTGTCCTTAGAAATGCAAGTGGGATTAATTGGTTGATTGTAGAATTGCTTCTGGTTTGTGTAGCTGAATAGAAATAATTGAACATATTTCTTTGATGAAATAACTTCTAAAATAAAACCTGCTGTGAATATAAAAAGAGGTAGAAAATGTAAAGTCATTTTAAAAAGTGGAAGATACGAGACCCATGTGGTATCTGATAGCATATTCCGGTGTTTTTTTTTTTTATTCAGATAATCTGCACCTCACATGATCTGAAGGTGAATGGATCATGGGGCTAGAAGCATGAGGTCAAACTAAGTCATGGATTGTTCTGGAAGCCTGCTTAGTATTCTACTGAACAGTTGTTAAGAATTAGAAATATTTTGATTCTGTGAGTCCTCCAGCTACTGGTTTGTAAATGATAAGAACCCCCAATATTAGTTTTATAACATCCCAAGGTTTTAAAAATTCTTTTGGAAGTTTTATGCAATTTCCAAATATCAACCATATTTTAGTTTTTACGTAATAGACTCTTCACAGGAAAGGGAATCACAAAATTGTGAGAATGGGTATCTCTACTCCCAAAAGGTTGGAGGTTGGTAGATTAAACTACTTTCTAACACCATGATGATGAAAACTGCAAGGGTTTGGGGGTTTGTTTTTTTAATTCTGGTGGGAAGGATACATAATACATCTTTAAAGGGGCGTTTTGCTAGTTTCAGTTACTTGAACTGAGTAGTGTGTGTTGTGATTCCCTGACGTGACCAGCAGAGGCCTCCACAGGTCTCCTGCAGTAAAGCCATTCCTGGAGGTCAGTTCTGGGAAGGATAGAGAAACTGTTGCATTACAGGTCAGGACATGGGATCACGACAATGTTTCTGAGACTCCATTCAATGTTTTCAGCAAATGTGCCCACATCAACAGTACTTGCTCGGTGCCAGGGCTAAGATGGAACGATGTAGAAACTTGCCACTGATGTGCACCTAATTTAACAGTTGTCCTGAGGCATCTGCAAAGAAGCTAGGCTTGTGACCTGCCTACAGGAAGTAGTGGGGGGGACAGAGTGCCCATTCTGAGGCTAGACCCAAGAGCCCTAAGAGGCCGTGCATGTGCTTCTGTTGTTAGGAGAATAAGCCAGGGCTAGATGGCTGGAGGAACAGGAGAAACTCAAGGCCAAGAGCTGCCCTGCGAGCAGCCGGCAGACCCCTGGAATTGTGAACTCTCAGCGGAGCTGCCCAGCAGAGGCATGAGCAGGCTCACCCTAAAACATCCCGCTCTAGCCCGTTACAGCAACTGCCCTGCGACCTGCGGATGAATGATTAACGATAAACAGCTATTGTTTTTAAGCCGCTAGGTTTTGAGGTTGTCTGTTACATAACAGTAGCAAAATACTACACCCTAATTGTAATCATAGCAACCATAAGGTGACTACTGATACTTATTTCAAGAGGAACACTATTATGAGAATATTTCAATAATAGGAGATTCATACGGCTCATTTTTGAAAACAATTATCACATTTTTCTTGATGCTTGATGGAATTAGTATAAGACAATGAGTGTTGCTGTAATATCAGCCTCTCTTCCGATTCAGCAGGTTTCTGTAAGAAATGTACAGCAAGACAGAAAGTGCAGGGGCGCCTGCGTGGCTCAGTCGGTTAAGAGTCTGCCTTTGGACCCAGGCTCCTGGGATCGGGATCAAGCCCCCAGGTTGGCCTCCCTGCTCAGCAGGGAGTCTGCTTCTCCCGCTGCCCTTCCCTCCCCTGCCCACAGGCTCATGCTCTCTCCGGCTGGTGCTCCCTCTCTCTCTCAAATAAATAAATAAATAAATAAAATCTTAAAAAAAAAAAGAAAGCGCGAACTCACAGTCCCTCTGCAATGCATTCCAGCGAAAGGACATTCCCTCTTAATTCTTCCTTATGACTGGCATTGCCTTCTGGAGTTAAAAAGGTTGGTGGCCTCTCTCTATTTGATTTTGCTGCAAACAATACAATCATATGGATTAAAAGTTATGAATATGTATTTCTAGAAACACAGTTCACTGCCTAAAAATCTAATCCCTTTTCAAAACCACTTAACACTGTGAAATTCGTTAAACTGCACGTCCACACACTCTGCCTTACAAACATTGCTCATTCAGCAACGGAAACGATGTTGGTTACAGTAAGCACTAATACGAAGGACTATTTTACTCTTGTGCATTCCTTTAATTTGGGTTAGGTTTTTATGAATTTTTGGTGCTTTGGCAAATTTTCAAAATGTAGACATAGAGGAAAGTCACATTATCAAACTACCCAACTCTTAAAATTAGTGCTCGGGTCAAAGTGAAAATTAAACATATCGTGGAAGATGTTAGATTTTTCTGAAAGCTGTGACTATGGAAGTGGGCAGTTTGGTTTACACTAGGGACAACATCATAGTCAATTCCACTGATTAATCATGGACATAAATCTGTGGGGGATGTCTAAATATCAAGACGCCCAAACTGCAAGGTTTATGGAAAACAAAACAAAACTAGAAAGTTATTGACAGAGGTCTGGCAAATTGTGTGCCATACATTAAGAATAATGAATGTTAAATAAATTGAACTTGGTTTCCTCAATGAAAAAATAAAGAGGCCTCAAGTCCAAGATCTCAGGGAGGCCCACATAGGCTATCTTCCGTTTTATGGAAGCCTTGTTTAAATGTGGCCTTACCTTCTAATGGCCTCTCAGAAAAACATGAAGTAGGAATTATACCATCTTAAGGTTCTATAGCCCTTTACAGTTTTCAACACTTAAATGCATTATCTATTTGATGCTCACCAAAAGTGAGTGAAAAGGTAATATATGAATTATTCTCATTTCTCAGAAAAAAAAACTGAATACCAGGGAAGGTATTACTTGAGAGAAATGAGAATTTTCCTAAGACTTTAGAAATTGTGGAGGAAACCTTACTTCTCTGAAATCACTTTGGGAATGGTTTTGAGACCCATCTTTTTCAGGATATATTAAAATCAAATAGTAAGGCAGAAGTTGTGGTATGCCTACTCCGGTCATTGATAGTACCTTAATGTTTTTTACTTTATATCTCAAGGGTAAAAAATTAACACTGCAGAAATTCTGCCTTAGAGATCATTGAGAGGACCCTCATATCCAGAAACCACAATTTTCACTGATAGACCTTATACTTGAAAGTCACATTTCCCTTAAGGAAACCAAATTCTTTTCTTTTTAAAAGGATAAAGTTAAATGCTCTATTTTTAAAAAGGCTATTTCTACTGAAGATAGTGACTTGGTTTTAAACAAAACTAAGAGAAATGCTATTGCTAATTATATGACACTGATAATGTCATGTGAGAACAGATGGGAAATGTGATGTTTTACTATCAAAATCCACTTGATGTTAGTTGCTAACGGTTATTAAGACTGACGAGTTAGTATTCTAGCAGGTTAATGCACTCTTATTTGGTTAATGAGAAAAGTTTGAACAAGACAAAAAAATGAAAAATATAATTCTAAACATACATGAAAGATTTTTTTCCCCAAATCACGGGAAATGGTGCTTCACATGAAAACAGTGATAATAATTTTTATTACTATACATACAACGTGCAAAATGTTTTAGTGACAGGACGTAAGCTTATAGCTAAATTTCACAGAAAACACACATTCGTTCTAGCAGTATTAAACATGGAACTAGGACTCTCATGAAGAAATTAGGTTTAATAGCTATGGAGGTGAAGTTAGTGAACTGAATTCTACGATGAAGGAGAGGAGCATCAGTTGCAGTCACCGTAACTCACCACTATAAAACTCAGTGTCATTCAAATTAGCAGCTATGGTGTCATTCAATTCATCCACTGAAATAAACAGAATATTATGAAGAATGCAAAAAGCAGGGGAGAGGGTACTATAAAAAGGTATCGGGCAACAAAAGCAAACGTATATAGCTATGCTGACCAAGTGCCATCCCTAGCACGTAAACCCAGGCTTTTACATTGTACATGACTGACTGACTGATGACTTCACTCAGCCACCCAGCCAGTAATATAGGGACACAAAACTGAAGCTGTAGGGCTGCTAATTAAAGGCACGCTGGGGCATAAAGCACACGCAAATGCTCCGGGGACCAAGTAGACCCAGAAAGTTACTGTGGAAACAGCAACAGTGAAATCAGCAAAGAATGTAAAATACAGTATCTAGGTTATGTGTGCTCTTTATCTGCCAACACGTCAGTAACTAGTCACGGGTAGTTTCCTGATCAATGAACTTGTGTACTTCAAAGTCAGTGGTGTTTACTAGTTAATATATCTTAGGCACACTTACAAACATCATTGAAAGAGAGAGTCAGGAGGCTGAGCTCTTACCTGAAATCACCTTCACGGAAATAGGTTGCTTCTGCTGTATGGTTTGAGTGTGATTAAATCTGGCATAACAGATATAGTCCTCACGGGTATCCTCTGGGAGAACATTGGAGAAGTAAAGGTCTCCGTTAAGACCTTGAGAAACTCTCTCACTTTGTGGAAGTCTCTGAAAGGCTGGAGAAAGGCAGAGAGACATCCAGATGATTCCATTGCAAAGTGGCCACTTTCCCAATGACCAAGACAAATGTATCTACTAATAGTTTTGTGAACTTCATCAGAATTTTTTTTCCCCCTATAAAGCTCTTCAAGTAAAAGCAAGTAACTGTAGAAACTCCAGCTGCGCCTGCCAAACCCTAATTTCTCTGGAGTGCGGGCAGAGATGAGATTAGAATCGTACAGTTAAGTGTTGTATTAAACAAGTGTAAACAAACAAAAAAATGCTTTACAAAAGAGTTTGTGGGACTTTTCCTAATATTTAAGTTAGTCCCTAACTGTTAAACACATATACACATGTATCTTGGAAAATGCGTTAAAAAAGGTTGTAAGGCTGTTAAGTTGGCTTGTCTCCACATGCTCGGTCAGACACCAGATACTGTGAGAGCACCTAACTTCAAACTAGGTTCCATGTGAGGCGCCCAGCATCTCAGGCTCCCTCCCTGCCTGAGCCCGTGGCCTCACTGAGGAATCGGGGAGCACACGGGGGCCATTCACAACAGCGAGTGATGATGATGGAATGCTGCAGATGAGCCCCTCAGAGGCCACCCCAGCCCAGCCTACCCCCACTCCACGATTTTTTTCTTTCCTTCTAACCTACAATGTATTTTTACTTGGCCCGTGTGTGCTTTATTGCCCGTCTTCCTGCGCTGGGACTTTAGGTTCCAGGAGGACAGAGAGGGTCTGCTGTATCCTTGAACCCACGCAGGGCCCTTGCTAGGGGCTCCGTGATTAAATGAAATGAAAGTCAGTATTCCCGGTTCATGCTTCACAGTTTACTTCCCCTCGGGTCCAGTTAAGGCACTGTCCAGCCTCAGGCACTGAAGGAAGGCTTTCTAAGTGGATGGAGGACTTGGGGAGGTGGGGACACTGATCTATGCATGAATTTACACTTGGGGGGCTAACATGCATTTTTTTTTTTTTTTTTAAGATTTTACTTATTTATTTGACAGAGAAAGAGACAGCGAGAGAGGGAACACAAGCAGGGGGAGTGGGAGAGGGAGAAGCAGGCTTCAATGTGGGGCTCGATCCCAGGACCCTGGGATCATGACCTGAGTCAAAGGCAGACACTCAATGACTGAGCTACCCAGGCGCCCCAACATGCATGTTTTAAAGCTTCTGACTCAATTCCCGGAGCCCTAACTGAGCATTCTGTGCGTCTGAAGTGAGAGAACGAGGAAACCTGCACACTCCAGCAGCCTTGCGGCTAGGCGTTCTGTCTTCTGGAGGATTCTCCAGTCTGAGCCAAGCAGTGGGCTCCTCCTGCAAAAGGCATCCTATCTAACACTATATGAAATGCAAAATTGTGGTCGAAAGCCTGCAGCTCCTCGGGGCAGGGAAATGTGGAGCCAGAGCCTGAAAGAATGCAGGTTAGCCATGTTAGCCAAGTTCTTGGCCACGATGGGGGTTTGGTTGGTGGTTGTAAATTCATGATTATAAGCCGTGAATGCCTAGAGAAAGGGTTGTTTCAAGAATAACTCAAGAGGCGGGCCTGGGTGGCTCAGTCAGTTAAGCGTCCGGCTCTCGATTTCAGCTCAGGTCATGATCTCGGGGTTGTGAGATCAAGCCCCACGTCAGGTTCCATGCCGGGTTTGGAACCTGCTTGGGATTCTCTTTCCCTCTCCCTCTGCTCCTCCTCACTCTTGCTCTTGCTCGCTCGCTCTCAAAAAAAATAAATAACTCAGGAAAATAATGTACACTTATTTAATGAATACAAAGAGTTAAAGATAAGTATTCATTTATTCTCTTTGGATTCTTGTGCTGTATTTTATTATTGATGGGTGTTGGTAGGTCAAATGAAAGGGAATGAGGCTTTAAGAGGGTGGTAGCACTTTGCTCTCTGAGATCCTTTGCCTTACACTTAGAAAAAAAAATGTATGCAGATAGGAAGAACTTGATAATGTCATCTTACAACAAGAATGCTACACAAATCTGAAAATTTTTTTTGTATTCCAGATGCAATTTCATTTGAAAGGTCCAGATGATTTGCTAACAGCCTAAAAGGTAGGTAAATGACATAGCCCAGCAGTGCAATATGGAAAACAAAGTTACATATTCAGATGATTCTGAAACTTTACAAGTATTCGCCTATGTATTAAGTGAAAAGGTCATCATTTCTGGGTAAGAACCAAGGACCAAACACTGAGTCTCGTTTCGGCAGTGTCATTTGGATACACCTCTCATTTACAACTGATTCGCTATGTATTCTTTCAAAATCTGTTCAAAAGCTGTTATGCAGTAACAGGAAAATATGTTTGCTCATTGATTCATTCACATATTTATTTTTCATTTCTTTGTGATACTTTCTCTGAATATTTTTCCATATAAGAGTCACAAATGGAAATTAAATATTCCAGCGAAATTTTCTCTTTAGAAATGTGAACAGTCTGTGAATTCAGAGGAAATCATGTCACTGAGAAGAGACTGTATTCCCTATAAATATTTTGCATTCCTTCCCACCAGTCCACCTAAACGATTCTTTTCAAGGTCAACAGTGATCCCCGTGTCGCCAAACTTAATAACTGTTTTTCAGTCAGCTCAGAAGTTATCTGATCTTTTGAAACAGTTGGTTGTTCTGTCTTCTTGACATTTTGCTTCACCTTATCCCAAGGACCCTGCTCTGTCTCTGTTCTCTTCCTCCCTCAGGGACTGCTCCTTCTCATCTGCTTTGCTGGTTTGTCCCTAAGTTCTGCTGGGCGGCTCCTGATCTCCACATCCCAGGCTTTGCTCTGCCCCCATACCACTTCAACCCCCAGTTCTCTCACCCAGCCCCTGGCTCTAGGAGCACCTCTGCTCTACCATTCCTGCATTGCTGACCAGAGCCCGGCATCTGCCTTCCAAGTCCTGCTGGGCACCTCCTCATGGCTATCCTCCAGGCCTCCAGGTCTCTCACCTCCACAACCCTGGTTTCCTGGTCTCCAAGCAGAACCCCAAGCTACCTCTAAGGTAATATGCTAACCTATTAGCAGAGGAGGAGAGGCGGCAACAAACAGTTCCCTTAAGGATAGTACCGGCGTAGACAGATATGAAATGGCCTAATGGATGACTTTATTCTGTGTGCTTCAGTTTCTGGAAAGATGACAAGATGCTCCACATTACTAATCATCAGGGAAATGCAAATGAAAATCACAGGTTTAATTACCTCACACCTGTCAGAACGGCTATCACATATAAGAAAAAATAACAATAATGAGTGTTGGTGAGGATGTGGAGAAAAGGAACGCTCATGCACTGCTGGTGGGAATGCAAGCTGGTGCAGCCACTCCGGAAAACAGTATGGCGGTTCCTCAAAAAGTTGAAAATAGAACTACCCTACAATTCAGCAATTCCACCTTCTGTGTACTTATCCAAAGAAAATGAATATACCAATTTGAAAAAAAACACATGCACTCCATGTTTTTTGCAGCATTATTCACAATAGCCAAGACAGGGAAGCAACCCAAGTGTCCACCCATAGATGAATGGATAAAGAAGACATGGTATATAGACAATGGACTACCACACAACATTAAAAAGAACGAAATCTTGCCATTTGTGACGGTATGGATGGACCCAGAGAGTATTAAGTGAAATAAGTCAGACAGGGAAAGACAAATACCACATAATTTCGCTTATATGTAGAATCTAAAACAAACAAACAAACAAGAGACTCACAGATACAGGAAACAAACCATTGGTTACCAGAATTGAGGAGGGGTTGGGGGATGGGCAAAATAGGTGAAGGGAATTAAGAAGTACAAACTTCCAGTAATAAAATGAGTAAGTCATGGGATGTACTGTACAGCACAGGGAATAAGTCATATTGTAATAACTCTGTATAGTGACAGATGGTAACTAGACTTGTTGTGGGGATCATTCCATAATGTATAAAAGTATGAAATCACTATGATGTACACCTGCAACTAACAGGACATTGTCAATTATATTTCGATAAAAAACATAAAAAAATAAAAAGTAGAACGAATAATCAGACATGCCCCATAGAGTTGTTGTAAAAAATTGATGAGATAACCCACGTAAAGTTCTCAGCAAAGGGACTGGCACTACATAAATGCCCAATAAATATAAGCTGTTGTTGGAGATTAAAAAAAAAACAACCTGAATGACAAAAGGTAACACATCCCAAATAGCTTGAATCCCTGCCCCCAGCCTCGGGATTCTGCTTTTTCAGGAAACGATGATTCCGTGTTGTCAGCTGCTCAGTGTTCAGCTCTGGAGTTATCTTTGGTCGCTCCCTCTCACGCCCCCAGCCCGATCCCAAGAAATCCTGGAGGCTCCATGTCCACAATATATCCAGAAGCTTTTTGTTCCCACCTGACGGTCACGACCCAAGTCCATGTCACCATCAGCTTCTGCCTGGATTTCAGCAGGGGCCACCTGGCGGTGACCCTACCCCGCCTTTGTCCCCTCTGCAATCCACACAGGAACTGCAGGAGGGCTAATGCTAGCTGGTTAGGTCCACGTATAGTCACTCCTTCCGTGTCTCCCCGCTTCATTCAGAGCAAAAGCCAAAGCCCTCTGTACTGAGCCCCGGACTTCTCCAACCTTGTCTGTCTCCCTCCCGCTGGGTTCCCGTGGTCTGGCCACGCTGCCCTCTGGGGCTTTCCAGGCACTAGGATGCTCCTGTCTCAGAGGGCCTGCCGGTTTCCCTTCCACCTGGACATTTAGGGGCCTGCCTTGCTCTCTCATTCCTCTAAGTCTCTGCTCAAAACGCTGCTTCTTTTTTTTTTTTTTTTTAAGATTTTATTTATTTATTTGAGAGAGAGAGAGAACACAAGAGTGGGGTGAGAGGCAGAGGGAGAAGCAGACTCCCCGCTGAGCAGGGAGCCTGCCACGGGACTCGATCCCAGGACCCCGGGATCATGACCTGAGCCGAAAGGCAGACGCTTCACCAACTGAGCCACCCAGATGTCCCTGCTTATTTTTCTTCATAGAACTTATCGTCAACTGACGCCTACTTTATTTATTTATTTATTTTTAGAAGATTTTATTTATTTATTTGACAGAGAGAGACACAGTGAGAGAAGGAACACAAGCAGGGGGAGTGGGAGAGGGAGAAACAGGCTTCCCGTCGAGCAGGGAGCCCGATGTGGGACTCGATCCCAGGACCCTGAGATCATGACCTGAGCTGACGGCAGACGTTTAACGACTGAGCCACCCAGGCGCCCCCTAACGCCTAATTTATAAATGCATTGATTTCTGCTTCTGTCTTCACCCCCAACTATTCCCACTGCATAGAATATGAGCTTGGTGGAAGCAGGAAATTTGGTTTCTTTAGAGCGGTGCCTGGTATACAGTAGGTGCTCAAGAAAATCATGTTGCTTATTTCATGACATGTTATTTATTTCAACGAGCATTTCTTTTTTTTTTTGAGCATCTCTAAAACACCTTATAAACATTTTTATGAATCATGAGAGGTAACAATTCATTGTGACAGCAAGTAATCATAAGAATCTTGAAGACAGAAAGTTCATATTTTTAAAACTTACAATTATCCATCCAGAATATTATAGGTGGTGGTAATCCAAGAGGGGGTCTGCAGGGAAGGATCAGAGACTGGCCATTTCGAAGTATTATTGGTTCAAGTTTTTCTTTGGTCCACAGCGGTGATCCTATGATGTAAAATAATAACTTCTAAGTTATTTCTGCACTGAAAAATAAAAGAGCACTAGAAAGGAAGACAAAATAAACTTTTGGGGGGAATAGTAATTCAGAATCCATGTACATTAAGACAACAAGAAAATAACTTTTAAATCCAATGCTAAAAAAATGATGATTTTTATTCACTGCCATTAATAGTATAAATGCTGACACAGCAATTCCATGTCTAAAAGTTTGTATTATTAAATAAATCATTAAGAAGATACATCATAGGTGTGCCTGGGTGGCTCAGTTGGTTAAGCGTCTGCCTTCAGCTCAGGTCATGATCCCGGGGTCCTGGGATGGAGCCCCGCATCAGGCTCCCTGCTCCGCGGGGAGTCTGCTTCTCCCTCTGACCCTCCCTCTTCTCATGCTCTCTCTCTCTCCCATTCTCTCTCTCAAATAAATGAATAAAATCTTAAAAAAAAAAAAAGCATGCTGCGGTGTGTAAAAAAAAAGAAGATGCATCATAATTTCGCTACGAGCGTGTTCTTTACGAAAGAATGGAAGGCACTAAATGTCAAAACGTTTGTTTAAACGAATAATTGTGCACCTACACTTTTGAGTGTCATATAGTAAGTATACATATGTAGAAGACTGATATGAGAATATACATGATACATAGATAAGTCAGAAAAGGTTATAAAATAGTACTTCAGAATGAGCTCCGTTGGAACACATACACGCAAATCTGCATAGAAAATGTGGAAAGAGCAGTGGGCACTTGCTTGAATGGAAAGAGTCATGAGTAAATTTTTCAATTTCTTTTTTGTTATTTGTAATTTTTTCCCCAATAATGAACACAGGTAATAACAAGTTTTCAAAATGACCAGAACTGCAAATGGCTATGTTCTTTAAATACATGCTCTTTAAATACAAGTTGTTGAGAGGACGTGGGTAGTGACTACTGCAAAAAGAGCCACAATTATCTCAAGGTAGTGAGGTCCCTCTATTTCCAGTGAAACTTAGAAACAAAAATGTTAATTACCCATTACCCATTTCATACTGAATTTATTTCCGTCGGGCTGTCGGAAGTTTGCTCATATTTGATACGTGAGAAATTAATAATTTGATCAATTCGGGGAAGAAACGCTTTTCTTACTCCTGGTGTTTTATTCTGGACTCGCATAAAAGACATACTGGGTTGGCAAAGCATTAGGCTAGTGGAAACGAGCAAGAATTTTCAGGCAAAACAAAGTGAGAGTACTGGAATCAATGGCATTGCTTTCTTGTAATAGTATCTAGATGAGGTCACAGATGCTGAGTCTCAGAGCCATCCTTAAAAATAGGGTCCTGTTTGGCAGACAAGTCCCACTTACTGGAAGGACGGACAACAATATTATTAGAAATTGCCGCTCCGCGCTCGTTCCTGGCTGTGCACTGATAGACCCCTTCGTAGGTCTCTGCTTTCCCTTCGCTCATGATGTTGATCGTGAGGGTTCCTGAGCCGGGCTTCATGGTGACGAGAGGGTCCTTATCTATGTCAAAATGCGTCCCATTGCGGGTCCAGGAGAAGCTGCCCAACACATCAAGCATTAAACTTGTTAACAGTCCACAAAAACAGGATGACTTCCTCTTTCACAAATTCCTAGCCGTTTTGTAGGCTTCTAGAGATAATGATTACATTTTAATATTCAGTGAAAGAGCAATAGGCTCCATACCTAAAATGTTTCATTGAATCAGAGCTTAGAAAAAAGGGCTGCAAGACTGTTTAATCACAGACCTGTACCCCTGAAACAAATAATACATTATACGTTAAAAAAAAAAAAAAAAGAAGAAGATAGCAGGAAGGGAAAAATGACGGGGGGGAAATCAGAGGGGGAGACGAACCATGAGAGACTATGGACTCTGAGAAACAAACTGAGGGTTCGAGAGGGGAGGGGGTGGGGGGATGGGTTAGCCTGGTAATGGGTATTAAGGAGGGCACGTTCTGCATGGAGCACTGGGTGTTATATGCAAACAATGAATCATGGAACACTACATCAAAAACTAATGATGTAATGTATGGTGATTAACATAACATAATAAAAAAAGAAATGTACCATTTTAAGGTACATGTCTTCATTTAGAACTAGCCGAAATCTGTCTCAAGGAAATCAGGCACACAAATTGCCTGTCATTTTTCAAAGAAAATACAGAAAGTAGGTCTCTGAGGCACGTTCTCTTAGAGCTTTATTAGCATTTTTATTGTAAACTCCATTGTTCACAGAGTTGATAACCTGTCTATAAAATTTTGCTCTGGGCTGAAATGTGACAAGAAAGGCCTTCCCAGGTACTGGTACATGAGTGCATTTGAAAGGGATCAGACCAGTTTCAAGTTAGCAAAATGCAAAGTGTAAGTTGGGGGAAGGGGGTGAGAACGAGGTCAGTGGTGTTTTCAATGTTGGCTATTAAAAGTGGTAATTCTCTATAAAACACATTTTGAGAATTCTCAATTCCAGAAGAGATGATTTTGTAAATTCCTCAGGAAGTATTTCAAATTGTCAACTGCAATTCTTCTTTTTCCGTTTATTTATAGAAAAGACTGCCTGGAACAGAAGTTGTGGCGCTCGTGTAATGAAATACTTTATAACTAGTCATAAATCCACAGTGGCCACACTTATACAGAGGCACTGAGCTCTAGACCTCACTGTGTTTTGCCTGCCCACTGGGATTTCCCTTCCCACTCCTTACCCTATGGCAGTGGTTGTCCCAACATCTCGGGGCGGGAGGTGGTGGTAAGTGGGAGCTACCGACGGAGAGAAGGCAGAGGCCAGGGATGCTGCTAAATATCTGATAATGCGCATGACAGTCCCCGTTCCCACAACAAAAAACTATCTGGCCCAAAATAGTAGTGCAAAACTATCTGGCCCAAAATAGTAATCCTGCCTTATAGAGAGAGGCAGGAAGTGTCACATCAGTGTGAACCTGAAGGGGGACTCCATGAAATGACATCACCTTGGGGCTTGGGTGCTAGAGGGTTCTAACAATATGGCAGAACATACTGTTTTGAAGCAAACCTCTTCAAAGGGTGTTTTTGATATACTTCAGTATTTAGTACCAGCTGATTTTTTTCTCAGGTGCCACTTTGTGGTAGTTGGGTAAGGCTGGCAATAGACAGACTTGGAAAGGAAAGATCTAGAGACTTTCACTTCTTTATTATTTAAAAATCCATACTACTTTTAATAATAATAATCCAACTCTCCAAACTTCCCATATATAACTGCGCAAGTGCCGGAGCATCTGCTGAGTAGTAGCGTGGAGGAGCATTACCAGGCATCAGTGTCCCATCTACAACATCTATTGGTTGGACCAGATAACCTTTCATGTCCCTCCCACCTCTAAACTTCTGTGCAGTGCTCACGCCAGGATCCATATGGAGAATCCTCAGTACTGAGCCCTGCCAAGTCTGAAAATCCACTCAGGACTATTTTACAGACCTCTACAGAGCAAGGAGGGATCTTTGAAGCCATCAAGTTCAACTTCTTTATTTTATAGAAGAAGATACTGAGGCCCAGAGAAAACAGGTTTGCCCATGTCATAAGGGCAGTAGAGCCCTTAGAAGGCTTTTGTTCACATTTCCCAATAATTTTGGAGCATTTTGCAGAAGGGTGTGAGTCCAGAAATGCAATCAATTATCTGGGTGTCCAAGAAAGACAATCTGACTTCAATTCATCAGAAAGACAATAGGCAGGACCTATCACCATAATACCAATGTTTATGTTCAGTTCTATAACAGAGCAGAAAGCACACCCACCTTGGAGGAGGTTTCCCTTTGGCCTCACACTGGATTACGATATTCTCTCGAGGGTCAATAATGTAATCTTTTGGAGACTGTTGAGTAATGGTTGGAGGCTGTACCACTTAATTGTAGAAAGAAGAACAGTGTAAAGAAATCACTTAAGATCATAATAAAAATCATTCTATGTCAAAATCACTTACCCTAGACTGACTGTGCTCCAAATGTTTTTAGCAATTTCAATGGTGGCAGCACATACGTTACTAGATTTTTTAACTAAAAGTCTCCTAAAACTTTGAAGTCAAAGCACAACTTCCTTTTGGTAACTTTATAGGGATTCACAGAGCCCATTTCAACCCCACTACAAGTTTGGGAAAATAATTACCAATACAAGCTTAATATTAAGACCATTTCTCTTCTGATGTAACAATGAGAAATTCCTGTGATTTTTTTGGTTCCAATGATGCTTTTCAATAAAATTTAAGTTATGAGGTAAATGGGCATTTCTTAGGAAAGAGTAACTGACTTATAGTTTATTAGTGTGCTAATGTAAATTAATATATGTTGGGAACAAATCAATTTGGGAAGTTAGCGTTGAAAAGATGGGTAAATTAGAGACTTGGCATGTCTTATTAGAGCCAGGAGGTAAGTGGCTATTAGCAGCAAAGATAAAACAGTCTCGTTTAGAAGATCAGTGGAACTGGGAAGTGCTCGGTTACAGGAGACCTTTCCATTTTGCTCTTCAAAGTGCTATCCGATCATTTATTTTCAAATCCTATGGAGAAGAGAACCAAACTCTCCCAGTAGAAGCCACTGCCTTGTATAACTCCAGGGAGAGCCGTTCATACAGACCAGGGTTCTCAACCTAGGGTCCCCTCGGGGGACGTTTGGACATTTCTGGAAGCAATGTTGGTTGTCACCCTTGGGGCGGGAGGTGGTAGCGGCATCTGTCGGGTAGAGGCCAGAGATGCTGCTAAGCATCTTACAGGACAGCCCTCCCCCTCCCCCAACAAAGACTTATCTAGATCATTTAAGCTTTTCCCTTTCTGCTCATGCTCTGTGCTTCGTGAAACCTCCTTCACCTGCCAACCAAGCGTTTCCCAAAGTTTACTCATCGCCCTCTGCTCTTGTCTTTCTTTACTGTGGTTAATCGTTGCCAGGGCTAAATGTATCATTTCCATGTCTGATGGCCTATAAAGCGGCCAACATGATTCTCTTCACTTGTTTGGTCTTCTTGCTGCCCACTACGATGGACACTAAATGCTGGCTCTGACCATCCAAATAACACCTAAAGCCCAGATCAAAAACAGAGCTCGTTCCTGTCATCATTTATTATGCACCTAGTAACTGCTGGATACTCAACAGTACCATTTACCCCCTCCCTTTAGTGAGAGCCACCCCTGTCTCATGCTCCCGCTCGGCTGGCTGCCCTTCCTAGCCTCCACCACCCTACAAAGAACCCTCAGTCTCGAAGCCCTGTCGGTTCCCTGTGCTGGGTAGCACCCGGGCTGGGGGTCGAGAACCCGCCTGATTCTTTCTTACCAGCTGTGAGACTTCCAGCAAGTTTCTTACCTTCTGTAAGCCCCACTTTTCTTGGAGGGAAAATGGGGTTTAAAAGTGGTTATCTACCTTCTAGGGCCACTGGGAGCAGTAAATAAAAGAATCTGTGGAAAATTCTTAGTACGTGCCATTACCATAATGGTTCAGCGTGGGCTCTGTGCAAATCATTGTCATAATCATTTTTATTTGGACCAGCTTCATCTTTGAGTGATCCTTCAGGCTCTGGGAGTATAGAGTTTGGGATGATGGAAAGAAGCCTGGAATTTCACACCCGAACGGTGGATACCCAGGTGGTGGGTGGGGGGACTGTGAGGAGTGCCTCAGTCCAATTCCTTATATTTTTCCTTATATTAGGTGCAAGTCTGGTGGTTTCAAACCCAGAAATTCTGTTCACATGTCTGCCGCAGAGCTAGTTAGATGCCCTCCTCTAACTGTCAGGAGTCTACTGTCTACGGGCACCACTTTGAACAGTGCTTAGGTCACCTGGCAACTAACAAACGCTTTGAAGAAGTAGGGGGGAAAGGTGATTTTACATGATTTTCCTGGTTAATCCAATCTCAAAGGATTTTTTCAAATGCCCGAAAACTCTGTTTTTGAGCAGAAATTTGTGCTTAGAGCAAGCCCCTCAGAAACGGTGTAAGTGGGGGCTGCTTAATTGTCTTTTGCTCGCTTCAAAACAATATTCAATTTCACCGGGCCGTTATACTGCTGGGATGCTAGCCTACACGGTCCTGAAGAAGTTTGGCGAGGCACAGTCTGGAAGATACCGAAAGACATGCCTTGATGCCAGCAAGCATTTAATGGCATTTAGACCCAGACAGCCATTTTCTTTAAATTTTGTGAATTTTCTCATTGAGTTACATCAGATGCGAATAAAGCTTGCAAGTTAGTCGAGCAGCATACTGGTAAAAGAAAGAGTAATACCTGAGTCTTCAGAATTCATGCAGGGCATATATTAAACTTGCTTTCTTGGTATTTAAATGCAATGTTTAGCCATAGGAAATGCACATGCTCAAAAAGACGTTAGTCACAACTCCTAAAGCTGTGCATTCAATTCACAGTATTAATTCAAAAACAAAGACATGGTCAAGTTTTCACACTGCCTAATAATTACAGAAAGACACTTACAGTCTTCAAGAAGTTTTGCTTTTTCCCCATCAATATCAGCAGGTGAGTGGGCAAACAGGATTAAAGAAAACCAGATGTTAGTAATAAGAACGTTAGCACCCTGGAGATAAAAGGGGCATCTTGTCTATTTGGTTTGACCTAAAAAACCAGTACAGTGAACGTGGAAGTCGTGAGGTTGTAAAAGAAAGACACTCCCATTATGGCTTTGTTTACTCCTGCAGCAGCCATCCCACATAAACATATGGAAGAACAAAAGGAACACTTTCGGCAAAAAAGGATTCTTCCAGGACTAGGAATGGCTAATTCCATTCCGTACATGTGCTGGACAAGTCATTATGTTCAATTTGAAAAAGAGCTGAAATCTACAATTAATGTGAGTTGTCACATACTGTGTTGTGTCTGATCCTATTATCCCAGACATCACTAGGCCCATGGTAATAATACCTAACAACTGGACATCACTACAGTGCCAATGCTCCATCCAAGCCAAATGCAATACCAGTGTTGGGTTTTTACATTTCTATGGTTAATCTGCAAGTCAGTAATTGAAGTTTTCAGCTGTTAGCATATTTCTACTTCAGAATTCCTCCTCACCGAGGGGTTGCTAGTACCCGCGCCAAGGAGCAGCTCAGATGGACTGGGGTGTAAGGAATGGGGGCGGGGTAGAAATTATATTAGCATGCAATTCAAATGATTCTGCAGTGCTGCCTGTCATTACTACTTGTAAAGGTTAATGCACGAGCGCCTGGGTTGTCCGTGACTTTTTTTTCATCATGGTTATGCCTCTTCTCCATTAGCAGCGATAATTGAGTTAGCCGTAGGTGACAGCTTCCCCCTGATTGTTAGATTGAGCAGTCAGATTAAGGGAGAATATATTTAACACAAGAGAGAACAAAAGCCCATTTCTCTCAAGTGCTTTTGTCTCTCTTCTTTATACTTGGGCATTCCAACTCCAATGGGCTTAACCAATCATACATTTTTTTTTTATGGAAATTAGGTCAAAGAATATTTTTTGAAAGGAAGTAAAATGTTGCATTTTATTGTCCTTTAGATGATAGATGCATAGCAAAGGAAGTCAACCAAGTGTGGGGCAAACCACATCTCTCCTTAATGTCTGCCCACTGGGACTTGCAACCTTCTTTGGCAAAAAGAGACATCCCAACAATTGAATAGCCCCAGGAAAGTGCTATCTTCCTTGCACCTTGGAAAGCTTGCCAAACAGATGTTCTATTCAGGAAGCTAATGGATTTAAAGAGGTCAGGCAGATCAAGAATAAAGGATGCATCTTAAGTACTGTCATTGTCCAAATCTGAAATTCTGCTTTCCACTGCAAGAGAAGGGATGAGGTGGAACCCAGCATTATCTTTCTTTTTCACAACCAGGCCACCCAGAGCAGGCAGACTGCAGCGTATACTTTCCTGGTAGGAAAAGGGGTGGGCTCTGATACAGTAGCTGTTGCTGGTTCCATTTTAAATAGTGTTTTTGCCCATGACTTGTTTTCTTCACAAAATTTTACATTTTGGTCTTTGATCACTTTTTTTTTTTTTTTTTTTTGGTCTTTGATC